GTTAGCAGAGCCCCTGGCACCTTACCCCACACACCATCCTGCCGCTGTCCTTCAGAGCTCCCTCGGCCCCTCTGGGTGCGTCTGGAAAGCTCTCAGTCTGATACTGTGTCGACGAAGGCTTTGCCCCTGAGGGGACAGTGTGGAGAGGTGGGAGCCTTCGTTTCCCTCCTCCGTGTTAAAGGAGCTCACTTAGCAGTCCTCGTGCCTTCGCGGGAGACATCGGTCTCGCCCTGCCGCTCCTGGGGTCTCGGGCGGCTAGGGCGGTCCCTTCACTACCGAGCTTGGCCTCACACACGTACCTCCACCCCCTTCGGAGCCCGCCGATGCTTGGCAGGTGGGAGGACAGGGCAGGACGGCTTGAGAGCGTGACCCATGTGCCTGTGTTTTCTCGAGGTTGCTGCGAGAAAGCCGTGTCACAGCGGTTTGAAGTGGAAGGGGACACTTCAACGGTAGGCCAGCAAAGGCATGAACGATGCGGCCGTGTCATTTCAGATACCGCCTGACCAAGATCGCCGTGGACACGGCGGCCGGGCCATACCAGAACCACACCGTGGTTTTCCTGGGATCCGAGAAAGGCATCGTCTTGAAGTTCTTGGCCAGGCTAGGAAGCGGCGGCGTCCTCAATGACAGCGTTTTCCTGGAGGAGATGAGCGTGTACAACCCTGAGAAGTGAGTGGGGTGTCCATGCCCTCCGGGGCCGTGTGCTAGTGCAGCCCTTCCCTTCGGAGGTCACGGCAGACCAGGCGTGCTTTTGTTTGCTTTGTTTTGGTTTTGCATTGATGGATTATTTTTCTGTTTGTGGAATCTTTTAACACATACAAAGCATCATTTTCTCCTTGCCAATAGTGTGTGTGTGCATATGTGTACACGTGATTATGTGTATGTGTGCTTCTGTGTACATGCGCACTAACGTGTATGTGTGATTATGTGCGTGTGTGCATGCTCGTGTGTACATGTGCATGCTCGTGTGTATGCGAATGTACATGTGTGTTTATGTGTACCCATGTGTGCATGTGTGTGAGGATCTGTTCACCGTCGGTCTGACAGGATTACGAGATCGGGGTGGTGCCCGGCCGCCCCTCCAGGTGCAGCTACGATGGAGTGGAGGACAAGAGGATCGTGGGCATGCAGCTGGACAGAGCGAGCAGCTCTCTGTACGTCGCCTTCTCTACCTGCGTGGTAAAGGTGCCCCTCGGCCGCTGCGAGAGACACGGGAGGTGTAAAAAGTATGTATGCCGCCTCAGTGGCAGCCGGGAAGTCCTCAGGGGTTAGAAGAGGCCCAGGGAGCTCACGGTCGTCCTCTTCCTGCAGAACCTGCATCGCTTCCAGAGACCCGTATTGTGGGTGGGCAAAGGACGGAGGTGCCTGCGCTCGCCTGGCTCCCGGCAGCAGGTGAGGAGCGCGAGGTTGGGAGCGGGCAGGGTGCCCTTTGTTAGTGTGCTTTCTAGACATAGGCCCGCTGCGCC